ATGCTCTTTCAGATCATTCACCAAACCCCTTATGACCTATCTGAATGCTGGATTTGCACAGCCCTATTAGACCCCACTATAACTATTGTTCCCTGGTATCACAACTCATCTACGGTCTGTTCAACTCAAAGTCCCTTATGATAAAGTCCCCAACTCTTCATACCCCCAGGAGCCTACATCACCTGCTGTGGAAAGCCCATAGTCAAAAGCTTGTCCATGCCTTGCAACCAGACCATAGTTCTACCCTTGTGTTCATCCGCCCCAGACACAGACCCCCTGCTACTTCCTATGTGACTTTGAGCTCTTCCCTTGCTATCATCCCGATAAAACCTGCCTTCCAGTCCTCGCCCTTCCTAGTTTAAAGATCTACAACCACACAGAATTTACACAGCAATTCCTCCACTCACCTGGGTACTCCTGACACAGTATCTCCATCGGATTAGTACTGAAAACCTCCATATTGGCAGGAGCTCTTGGAGTTTCTGTCCTAGGTACATCCATGGGTCTCAACCTGCAACTTAGTACACAACTGGCCAACCACATCGATCATGTTTCTTCCACCTTCTCCTTAATTTATTCACAGCTAGACCACTGGCAGCAGTTGTCCTCCAAAACAGGTGTGCTGTGGACCTCCTCACAGTGGAAAAGGGTAAAACTTGCCTGTTTCTGGGAGAAAAATGCTGTGTATATGCCAACCAGTCAGGTCTAGTCCAGAAAAAGATCCAGCAGATGTGAGATCAGTGTAATTTCCTCTGCTGAGGCCTCTCGTCTGCTGCTCCAGGCACCTCTGGGATGAGGACATCCCTCCTCCCATGGCTACTGTCACTCCTGGGGCCCCTCATGGCCATCTGCCTCCTCTTCCCTGTGGCCCCCTGCTTTGTCTCCCTTATTCACAATACTGTTCAAAAACTAACAACCCAAAATTTTAACCTTATGCTTCTCTCAGATCCCCAGTTCCACCCGATAGCTCTAAAAGACCCAGACAAGTCCCCTGGACATCGCCCCAGTCCAGGAGGAAATAGTCACTGATGAGACACTTTGCTCTTATCCCTATCAGATTGAGTCTCAGATATTAGGTCTTCCTGAAGGACCCCCACCAGTACAAAGAAAAAAACAAAAACCAATTCGGCTGCACTTTCACACTTCCCAAAGAGCCCAACTGCAAGGGCTAACACTGCCCCCAAAAGCATCAACTGTCCTTGCGCAAAAATCCCATAATCTTACAAAGTGTTCTTGCAGGTTTTACAAAATGTTCTCGCAAGTTAACGACCCTAACCACAAACCCTCCTCTCTTGGCTGTTCTGGCCCACAGACATCTTCCCTGAAATAAACCCTTAAAAACTCAATGCTTTGCACAGCTCGGGGCTGTCTTTGTCAACTAGACAGCCCACCACGTCTCTCTCCCACTCAATAAAGACTTCTCTGGTATCAGATGGCTTGGTCCGGTTTTGTGTGGGTTTCCCAGTCCAATCAAATAGGAAAATCTATGAAGATAGAAAGATGAGTGGTTTTCTAGTTTCAGCTGGGAGGAACTGGAAGATGGCACCTGTAGGTAAAGTGTCCTTTAGGGGATAACAACAATGATCTAAGTTTGATTGAGGTCATCATTGCATATCTTGGTCAATGTGCTAAAATATACTGCATGCTACATTTTAAGTTTATAAATGGTGTGGTATGCTAATTTTAGTTCAATCAAGCTGTTATTTAAATGAAATTGAAAGAAAACTAATCAAAGAAATCTTTGACCACCTATGAGTATCAATGTTATGCAGCTCTCTCTATAACTGAATAATTGTGAAGACGGTAAGTTCAACAAATTCATTTAATTTTCACAGAGTATTTTACTAAGAAATAAATAATAGGTTGAAATTTGGGTCAGCTAGTGCATATACAGTCTCATTATTGCTCAAAATAATGTTTAAACATATTATTTTTTCTTTTTAGTGGTTAGATATTCAAAGTTTTGTAAAAGAAAACCATTGCTACTGCTTTTCTTGACATTATTACCATAATATATTGACTGACAATTACTTATAACATTTATATAGATGAGCGTTTCCGTACGTCACAATGATGATCATCTCTCTTTTCCAACCAGTGGTTTGAGAACATCTCAGTTAGGCAGAACCGGCCCCCACTTAGTTTCCCTCCTGTCTGTGGGTTGCATTGTACAGCATGCTGTGCATCCATAGGTAATGTCTGTAGATGTTTAGAGACAAGCTGTGGAGAATTTTGCATTTTATATTGCTCTCAAAAGCACAGGCTTTAAAAATGGCTGCACACAATATTTGGCCCCTTGTTCTGTCTTCATTTTTTCTCTGCGTATTGAGACGGGAATACAGAGGCAATATGAATTTCTGATTTTTATGTCCTGAATATCCTATATCATGAGGTGGTAGAAACATCTGACTAGAAGGATAAGGTAAAAAATTAGAGATTTACTTGGAGAAAGAGGAATCTCTAATATTATACTCTGATAGTCCTGAATTAAACTCTCGGAATCTCAGCTGATACTCCAAACTAGAGGGCCATATTCCCTCCATTTTTTGTCTTACTATCCAGTTATACATGAATATCTGGTAAAACAAAATTAGTAACTAGAAAATATTCAAGGGCACATGTAGAAAAGGTTTGTTATTGTTGAAATCAAGTATATCACCAGGTTACAAGGTTTGAAGAAGAAAACTAGTTTGGACAAGCAGAAATGTGTGAATCAAGTAAAAATTTCATAATTTATATTTGGTATTTCTCAAGTTATTGCACTTTTAAAACCCTACAAGATGGCCGCTAGCACCCGGAATTCAGTGTGGCAGGGATCGCCGGCCTTTGGGCCAGACCCTAGCTGGCCAGGCACCTGGGAGGGGGTCCGCTGGTGCCCAGAAAGCCGCGCAGTGAGGAGTGAGGGCCTTTGGGCCGGACCCTATCCACACAGGTGCCTGGGAAGCTGTGTGGCGGCACGCTGTGGTGTGTGCCGGCCCTCAGTCCAGCCATCTCCAAGTGGTTGAGAACTGTCACGGCACAGAGAAGCAATGACACAATTGTTCCACCATGTGCACTGGCCGCGGAGGCCTGCCTGGCGATGTATGTGAATCATCTGGACATGGAAAAACCCCTGGGAATACATGCCGCACAGTGGGTCACTCTTGTCCCTGCTGAGAATGAGAAATGTCCAGAGTCAGCAGAGGAGCAGCTGCTGAACAGGACACGTAGAACACAAGAATACAGACTAAGCCCGAAGACTCAGAGGTCTACTTGACCAGGGTCGTGAGAGCCATTCAGAAGCTGGAAACCAGAAGGACCTTGTGCAATACCTGGGGAGACCCCCTGGAAGCTATTCTTCCCCTGACAGTACAGGCTGCTGTGGAGGAGCAGGTGGAGCTCTGAAGAGGTCTGCACTGAGATTCCTGCTGCCTGTGCTGATGCCTGGGGAGAGGACACTAAGTGGTTGCAGGGTCCCAATGCACTGGGAAGCTGGAGAGAAAATGCTACAAAAAATCACTTTTGCCCCAGATGGTTCACTTGAGATGTTAGGAAAAATTGCCTCTTCAGTATTCTATAGCCGTGATGAGGAGGAGGTCAAGGAGAGAAAACAAAGAGACTGAGAAAAAGCAGCTGCTTTTGCTGCAGCACTAAGAGAAACAGACCCTAAGTCTGATTCTTGGAGCCCCAAGAAGAACTTGATGACTGAATTCATCTGCTACCACTGTTCAAAGCCAGGCCACCTCAAGAGGAACTGCCCTAAGAAGCTCCCTGGGCAATGCCCTGAACACAAATGGGACCACTGGAGATCAGTCTGCCCTCTGAAGCAGAGGCCCCAGAGTTCAGACCCATCCTACCAGTTAGTCTAACAGGAATGAGGGGGCCCAGGGCATACTCTGCCTTCTCCCTCTGACCAGACTGTCATCTCCATGGAGGAGCCCTGGGTAATCATGAATATAGAGGATAAAGAAAGCAGCCTGTTGCTAGACACAGGTGCAAGTCTCTTGGTCCTTCTTTTTAATCCTGGCCTTCCTTCCAGCCATCACACCTCAGTGACAGGAGTCAGTGGTGAGGAGGTAATATGCTATTTTTGACAACCCTTGGGCAGTAACTGTTAGATCTTTCTTGCATATCTGTGTCTTCCTGAGAAACCACTTTGAAGATACCACCATGTATTACAGCAGCCATTGATATTTTCCCACTAATCTGTCCATAACTCTGCAATGTTTGTATTATTTCTATGCTCTTTTGTAAATGGATGTATGTTTATTACTATGCATTTCCTACCACAACAATTGAGAATATTCAATTGGTCACTCATGTATAGCTCTATTTATTTTCTTTAGAAATCACTTTGAAGATACCAAAGTATAGTACAACAATCATTGATAATAACCTACCACTTTTGTCTGTAACTCACTATTATTTGTCTATTTGTTTTACTGAGAAACTATCTTATGGATAACAATATGTAAAACAACAACCTTTGATAATTTCTGACCATTTTGTATGTAATTCGGTAAGCCCCCCTATTTCTATGTTATCCTTGCTTTACTCTTTAAAATTAAAAAAAAAAACCCTACAAGATAAAATACTTGCCTTAATGATGTGCTATGAAATTAACTAAACTCATCATGCTGTCTATCTGCCTTAAGTCATGGGCTATATCCCTACAGTTGATCCTACCCTTTCTTTTATATCTTTGCTCATGCCAGTGTGATTCTCTCAAATTTCAAATAGTACTTTTTCTAACCCCATTTGCCAGGCCATTTTGAGATTTTTTCTTTTTCTGTCCTCTGTAAGTTTTCCACTTCCGTACAGCCCATTGCTTCCCTTTGGCTTCCCTTCCTCACTTCCCCAGAGTCTCCTTTTAGTCCCATGAACATAATAGTCACATTTTTCTTAGTGAGTTGAGCTCAGTTTATATTGAAGTCTCTCTCCTCTGTTTTAGTCACCTGAATAAAATCTCCCACCCTACTATTAAAAATCTTCCTCTGATGTTCTTTGACATATACAAACAGTCCAGTGAATTACATTTTATTCAAATAGAAAATAGAAAATGTTTCTGAAAATACAACAAAATCTCCAGGCTTTCAGCTTTTCTCAAATCAACAAAATGTGATTTCAGTGACTGTCATTTTTTAAAATTTATGATGAAATACAAATCAAAACTAAAGTAGAATTTCTATGGGAACACTGAAATTTGAACTGTGCCTTCCCTAAATAGCATTAAAATTATGGGTAAATCAAGAAGGCAAACGTCTTATAAATCATGGAGGATCATCTTGTAATGACTGATTCATGCCAGTAGAATTAGGTGAAATGCTCCAACTTCTAATGCCATATAAGACTCTACTCCCTCTTTTTCTTCTTTTCTGTCTTCACAAAATTTTGATAACAAATCAAGCAACATTTTATGACAAGGAAACTAATGGCTGCCACAAGAGCCAGTAGGAAGCCAATCACATCCAAAGAGTGGTACTGGTACCAGGTGAGGTTCTGGGCAAGTGGCCGCAGGTGCTTGGCACCTCTGTGGCGCATGACAAACTCGATCCAGAAGACTGCTCGGTCCAGGGGCTTCATTAGCTGATCATGGTGAATGGTTGATAACTTCATAGCATTGCTTTTATAGCTGAAGGAAAATTAAATAAGTTCAAAACTATTTAGAAATGACAGATTGTGAAATAGTGTGGGTTGTAAAACTGAATGCTTAAAATGCTAAAAACAAAAAGAAACCAAACATACAGTAAAAAGTTGAAATCAGCACCACAATTCAAAGACAAAAGGCAAATACTTTCCATGGTTCATACTACATTTGTGAGTAACTTTATTAAGGATTACAGTATTAACTAGAAACCAGTATTAAAGTCTCATCCATATTTTAGTCATTAAAATTATAAAACAGACTTCCTTTTTGGAATACTGCATAGACTTTTATTTGCTGTTTCTGTAAATATCTCTGTTTTGACTTCATAGATAAATGGAAAATCTAGGCCCCTTACAACATACATGTTTCCTGTTTCATCGCTCCCTTCATATTTCCTTGTCACTTTTCTGTTCCCATCCTGTGATTCATCTCATTCCATTTACAGGATATTTCAAAATTTCAATTTTGCTTAAACCTTGCACAAAATTTTCTAATAAAAATGCTGAAAATGTTTATTGTGATATCCCCGTTTGTTACCCATGATGGCATTAGCATTGAGCAAATTTGCATTTCATTATTTTTACTTCAGACTCATTTGTCCTTCCTTCAGCTTCATGTAAGAATTTATCAATAAATACTATGAAGAATTTTTAAAAGTTTGTACTCACAAAGGGTTGTCAATGACTGTCTTCAGTGCATTTAGCAAATCTATACTTGATAGTGATTTGAATTCCAGTTTAACAGCTGCTCCTTTAGCCTCCATTTGAGCAATGTTATCATGTTGTTCCCCAAACAAAGGAATGCCCACCATAGGGATTCCATGGTAGATTGCCTCATAAACACTGTTGGCTCCGCCATGCGTTATAAAAGCTCTGGTTTTTGGATGACCTAAGATTAGGTGAATGTCAGCATAATAATTAGTCATAAATTTTAGAAATACAGTGAGAAATGTACAATATGAGTCACTGAATGGGGTGATGTTTTATAAAGATTCTGTACCTACGTAACTGTAATGACATTTCTTTCATATCTCAGAACAAGAAGGACCTAATCCACTGAAAGGAGAGTGAATGCTAGCTGGCATATCCGGGGTATGTCTTTAACAATGAATACATGATTATCAGGGAAAGTCCATGTAATGTAATAAAATAAACCAAGTACCACACAAGGTTATGTGTGTATTGTGTGTCGTGGAATTTGTTGTATTAATGGGTAGTTCATTCACTAATTCTGAGAAAGATTGTGCAAGTCAGCAAGAAGTGGCATCAGGATGAATGAGAGTGTGATATTCAGTCATGCTTAAAATGTTAAATTTTCCCATTAATATTAAAACATCACTGAAAATAAATCAAGAGCGTTATTTTGAGTAATATTTGCAAATCCCTATTTGTGTGGAACAACTGGAATGTGGCATTTCTCAAGCAATGGTTGAATTAAAAAAAGAAAGACAACCCTGGAATTTATAAAACCTTTCTCTCTGAGAAACAGGTACATTGAAAATGAGGACCTTTAAATTGTTTCCAAGTATACCAAACAGCCAAATGTAACAATTTATTTTGCTTTCTCTAAGACTTGAAATATGTAGAATGAAATTAGATTCAGTTGTTGATTTTGCAACAACACATGCTTCCCTGCTTTGTTTCATCTTGTGCAATCATCAGCCTCACTGACAGGTTTTCAGTATTTGTTCCTGCATCTCACCAAGCAGGTCGTTCTGGGGGAGCCACTTGAACAACCGAGTGTTGGGTCCTAAGGTATCTGGTTTCTTGCCATCAAATCTCCAAAGAACCTGTTAGGTAAAGACTGCATTATACCATATGTTGACTTTAAAAATTTAGAGACCACCAAGTTAAGTACCTTTTCAGAATAGATTTTAAAATGAGGACAAGGAGACTAAATATTAAGAACTACTAAAAAAGACACCAATAGAGGATAAACATTTTCTGTACTTATACTTAATCAGTTTCAATATAATCATGATATTCCATGCACAGTGATTTAGACAAATAAGATATGATGGGCTAAATTAAATTATTTAAAAAATTTGTATGCAACTCTTACTTTTTATAAGAGATAAAAAATTTCTAATGGTTTGAATCTTCATTAATATACATATTTGTCATACTGTCTTGTCCTAAAATTAATACTAACTGATATCATTACAGTTCCCTAATAATAATTTCTTCCAGAGGCTATTTTATTAGTTATTTGCATAAAATATTGTTTTAAGTATAAAATATCTAATCCACATAATCACCTTTTGTCAGAAACCAAATAAATGGGTTTTAGAAGTATGTATAAACTGTTTCATATTAAAATTTTCATCTGTTATTATAGAAAAATTTTAACAGGCATTTTTGACAAGAAGCCCTAGTATTTATCACTACTGCTAGGATTGGAAACTAAATTAAGGAAATAGAGTTGGTTTGCAACTCATAAGCAATGTACTTTTTCTAAAACTGCATACTCTTAAATGGTAAAAAATTCTTCAACTTATTCTTTACTCTTCTGTGGTGCAGTACAAAATGTTGACAGCAGAGATTAACATGGCCCACCATAGCCTAAGCATTGCATTGCCCTGTCCTAAATGAGGTACTGGTTTTAAAACTTCTAAACTATTCTCCTAAACTGGAGCATTTCTTACAAATATTTGAGTTCTATTTACTGTGGGAATGTTAAAATTGACTTCACATTCTCAGCTAAAAGTTGGCATAGGAGATTACAAAACTGTTGTATCTGACAGCAAGTAAAACCTACTGTAGTTCATAGCTACTCAAAGATTAAGCTTGAATTGAATATGTTAGACAGTTAATCTCTATTATAAGTGATACAGAGGGTATCTGAACAGTTTCCCTAGACAGGTTTCTTCCAGTTCAACTTTTATTTCCCTTTTGCTTTCTTGGTTGGGAGGACATTAAGCCGGTGAGAGAAAAAAAAAAAAAAAAGCAGAGTCCTTGTGGAGCATATTTCATAATGTGCAGGTTCCAGTATAAGAGAAGAAGCCATCTGCAGTATAAGGGAAGAGATTTTTCAACTCTTCCTGCTTCAGATGTAGGTGCATCTCACTCAGATCAGTTTTCTTATCATTTTTCAATTAACATAAATAGTGGGTAAAGGGATCCTTAATTGTCCACCCTTCTGTTCTCCAGTCTGAGTATCCCCTTAAAATATACATTGTAGAAGCCTATTCCAAAATTCTGGTAAATAAAGAGGAGAAGATATGAAAATCCTAAACTACATGATTTATTTCAAACCTTTTTAAATATCTGCTCTAATTTTATTGTCATAGTGCATTACTAAGAACAATTTAACTGGTTCTGAAACATTGCTCATGTGTGCAGTGATCTCAACAATTCTGTAAGATAAAAAGAGCAAGATTCTGAAAGCAGATCATTGCAGAGCTTAATGATTTATCTAGTAGAAATCTGTCATTGAGACACTTTGCCAACCTTTTGTGGAATCTGCGCAAGGGCTGAAGCAATCACATTCGCTCTCTCTTCTGTCATGTTACTGACCATCGACCCCAGAGAAAACACCACAACTCCATGTTCCCCAGAGCTCTGCACAAAGTTTTCCATTTCCTGGGATGAAAGAATTTCTCCATCAGAAAAAATAAGAAGAAAAAATAAAAGGACAAGAGCTCAGTAAACACTATTGAAAAGTGCAATTAAAAAATGAAAATGATACAAATAAGAATTAATACAATTATTAGAGAGTCTGGTAAAAGTTTCACAAGACAAAGTTCACCATCTTCAACATTTCAGGTGAAGATATACAAGGAGTGATGTTAATGATATTTTTGTGGAGTCAACGTTACAAAAAATTATTTCTTGTACAACTAAAGTTTCATTTTTAGTGTATTTTCTACGACAATTTTTAAAAATCTTTACTCTCATTTCTGCTTCCATTAATTCTAGAAAAATAGTGTGATTTTATTCAATTTCTTTTCCCCCTTGTTTTCATCTCACATTCTTATTATGGTTGATTTATTGTTGTTGAAGATTATTTTGGTGACACAATTATAGTGGTATGAAATACACATTTATATGTTATTCAATATGAAATTTCTCTTATGGCATATTTGTGTTACCAATGTTTCTTAGATAAAACAATTATGATGATGTGTTAGATACCTATTTTCATTTTCAATCATTTCCTAAATGTGGATGTTTAGGTTACTTCCAAGTTTTATTTATATAAATAATTACTAGTTAGATGGATTTGTGCATCTTGATTATTTTTCTTCACATACATTCAAGTGAGTATCCTATATAGCCAAAGGGTATAAATGTTGATAAGACTTGATGCAAGTTTGTAAATTTCTATTTTGTGCACTGTAGTAAGTGCTGTTATTAGTAATTTTGGCCATTCACTATTTTTCTGTGTTCTTTTTGCCTTCTTTCTCTGCTTCTTGTATGTTTTGCTCTTACTAATGCTGTTATATTTTGATTAAGAAATCTTTCAAGTGTAGAGATATATTGTTTAATATCTACATCAATACTACTTCAAATATTTGACTTGTGGAATTCTTGCACAGTCTAAATAAATCGCATTCAAGAAGATATTGGATTTTTACCACCATACCAGATTTCAGTGTTTATATTGCTGTTATAAAGAAAGTAAACAAAAAGAACATTTTAAAACATTATGTATAGTGTAACAAGAAAAATTTTCATTTCTACATATATCTTAGAAGTATAATATCAGTTTAAAATACCTTAGATTTTTGTGTCCTTTTATAAGGAATGTCAAGACTTCTTGACATTCTACACTGTCAGACTTCTTGTGATTCACATCAAAATGATTTTCACAGAACTCTTAGGAACTATGAGTTGCTTAATTCATGTGCAGTGGATCTTTTCTCTGCCCTCATTCTGCCAGGTAATGTTGCTGCCATGATCACATCAGAGGGGGGAACTTTCCTGAGGTATCCTAGAGCCTTGGCATATGGTATTAAATACCTGTTTCAGGAGAGTAATCCATCTGTTTTGAACACTAAGTTGTAAAATTCTGGTATAAGAGGAAGAATGGTTTTTAGTCTATGCAAGAAAAGATGTTAAGCTTGATAGCAAATATAGCTGTGGGCTCAAAAGCACACCCTGGTGTAATGTTCTTTTTGTAATATGAAATACTAATGAAGAACATAAATGGCGCATATATCATCTCCTCATTTCATCTTCATTTTATTGCCTGAACTTATGCATTTACTTTTAAAGAAGTCTAAAGGATTTCTTTACATTAGGACTTTATTTGAGCTATTATCTTCAATTATTCAGGTGACAGATCTCATTTAATGAAAATGCATCTAATGTATTTCTCAAATATTGCATAATTAGTATCAAAACCAAGCTACCAATAGCATCAATAGAATACCCATTAAGTCTGGACCATTGAATAAATGCTGCAGATATTCTCTTTAAAATTTTTGAATGTTATTCCCACAAAACAATATGAAGTTCTACTTTGATTACATCAGTAGGAGTTGCATTTATATGAATACCTCTGTCAGGATTTCAATCATGTGTTACAAATATCTTCTAAATGCTTCCCAATTCTAGCATTCTGCATCTCTGCAATCTAATCTGTTGATGCCATCTTCATGGATTTTTTTTCCTACAAGAGGAAATCTGATCATCATTTTCTAGTTCAAATTTTTCTCTGTGTCACCAATGCATTCATTAAATATGTTTGAAACTATTATCTGCTTCTAAATTAGCTATTTAGCAAAATTACCGTCTCATAAAATAAGCTTGCAGTTCTTGAGATTTGTTCTTACTATTTTAACAGCTGTTCTCTTTTGTATCTTTCTTGACTGCTCATGACTTGGCCTATTCCTGCACCTTGCTCATTTTTTTTATCAATTCTAATGGCATATTATAATCACAACTGAAAGTTTTCTTAGTATTACAGTGCTTTCCTTTAAAATTATACTTCACACAATTTTTATTTCTTAATTATATTCTATCTTTACAAATAGTATACAAGATTGAGGGAGAGGTGCAGTGTCTATATTGTTTCTATGCTTATCTAACACTATTAGTGTATACTTGTCAGCTTACAGACGTTGAATAACAGAAGATTGATGATGCAAATAATGAAGACCACAATTTGATATACTCTATTTGAATACCGCCTAGGCCTCCTGTGTTTTTTTGTAATGGTAAGGAAATGCAAATACTTGTGGTGAAGTAAAAATATAATATTTTCAAACAAAGTCTTTCTATGCAATCCTTGTATCTGCTATGTTGCCCAGGTTTATGTGAACTGCTGGTTCTCGTGTCTCAGCCTCTGGTATTCTAGGATTAGAGGCTTGTGGTACCATGCCCACCTGTAATATGAGATTCTAGTTGGCAAGGCACTTTTGCCCTCTTCTCATATCTTCCTCATTGTAAGTCAAGACACTCAATGAGTAGTGCAGAGCATTCCCATTGAAAATTAAAATAAAATGAAGGCAGGATTATATTTACCTTAGGTAGAGGTTTGGCAGGTTTGCAGTGGAGTCCTCCCACAAAGTCAACATTTGGTAAGGTAGGGCGAGGAAATTCCAAATCCCAGTAGCTCCGAATAAGCCACATATCTGCCTGTTTCATTTCCTCATATACTGTAGTGGGTTTTCCTGTATTGTGGAGGATTAAAAAAAAAATAGAAACCGTTGATTCATCTTTATTGACAAAATGAGTAGTGTATAAATAATTAAATTGTTATATTTTACATATGGTCCAATTGTGTCTGTAAGAAAGGCAGCATTAAAGAGACTGTGTCTGTAATATTACTTGTTTATTCTCAATCATAAGCAGTCATTAAAATGCATATTATATAATAAAGGAAGCATTCCTGTCCCCCTAAGGTTGTCATAATGAAAGATATAAATATGAACAATTATTCAAGCTTGAGAATCGATTAAGTCAACTATAAACATGGAAAACGTTTTTCGGGAATTCTGTACTTTCTGCTACTCACCAAGTTGGTACCTGATCCAAGTGAACCATGATTTCTATAAGATTGTCGCTGAAATTCTTGTACCTACCATCGCTATGGTTCATACTAGGAGTATAATCATCTACATTTATCATTTACAAGCATTTGCATGAATCTCTTGGAAAATTTGCAGAAATTGAACCAGAGATTCGTGCCTATACTTGATTGCAGGTCATTCCATTTTTAAGGGAAAAACATGATAAAATCCACTCTACAAATATACAGATTTCTAAAGATTTTAAACATCTAAAATGGATGATTGATAAGGAACAATCATAGCCTATGGAATCATTAGAATATCTAAATTATAATTTTTGAGTCTGATATAAAACATCATATTGCACAAGAGTGGAGGTATCTTTTAGATCTTTTAGATACAGGAAAAAGTAGTAATTTTAAGCAAGGAATCTCATTTACTTTTGAGGAAAGAGTTCCTTCTGTGCTACTAGATATTTTTGCTGAAACACATAACTTTTCAATCTCTAAGTTATTAATAAAGAGAGATGCCTAATAATGTTTATTTTCAAATGAATAAAATGGTAAAATTGATATAGAACTGTAAGGTTAAAGCCTGAAACTTCACTATAGAATTGTGTGACCTCCCAGAATGATCAACATTAGTAATGATCCACAGGCTGCTATGTAACCCCATAGTATAAATGTATCTACTATATCTGTGAGATTGACAAATAATTTTAATTTTTAGTTCACCATTTACCTATAAAACTCTATTTTCTCATTGTACATTCATTCAAGCTTACTTACAAAGGCACAAGATAGTAAGGACCTCTCTCTACTAGTTAAAAACGTGACTTACCTAAAGCTTCACTATAAAGCTTGTTCCAATTTTTCCCATTAAACATTTCAATACAAAAGTCAAAATAAAGCATGCATATCATGTTTTTCACCCTTTCCATGAAAGTCATTTGACCACTTAAGCGTGACATGATAACAGGTACATAAGAAGGAGGTAATAGAAGCCCTGCAGCAGCTTTTTCCACTCGGAAGCCAGGGGAGCATCGAAGACTGTATACAAAAGGTAGTTTCAATAGCTCAGCCACTAACTCTCCACAGGGTGCAATTCGATCTGCAAGAAGGACATCAAATTTTGATGCTTGTAGTTTTGTCATAAGTTTCTTATTTGAAACTGCTTCTTTACAAACATTCTCCCAAACCCCAGAATATTCCCTAAAAATGTTGTCCACCACTGGAGAATATGCCAAACATGTATCTATTGATCCAATATTCATTCACTTAGTGATCCACTGAATGTAAAGGTCTTCAAGTTGCTCTCTACTGATAGATACAGTAAATGTTTCAAATTTAATAGCAGATGATGCGTTAACATCAACAAAAATAAAGCTTGAAGGTATCAGAACTGTCACATCATGTCCTCTCTGGATAAGTTCCTCTACAATGATCTTCATATTCATCCAGTGGCTGTACTCCATTGGCCATACCAGCACCTTGCCACAGTTCCCAAAGCTAAAATAACAACACAACTGTAGCAGCAGCAGAGCTGAGATGCGTTTCATGGACATCTCGATAAAATGCTGTATTTCTTTTCAAATTGTGTTGCCTTCTGTTGTTACTCATGTCTACATTCAGGGAGGAATTGCCCAAGAAGTTAAATGATAACTTGGACTGTTCAAAGTACATGTATCAAACTGACAGTCTCAGCATGGGGACTGGTGGCAGCTAAATAATGCAATATAAATTATTACATGTTATTAGGAGAACATTACTTTCTCTCATGAGTAAGTGATTTTAGCTGGCTTAGACCCAAAGGCCAGCATGTGTCAGTCACTTGTATTATATGAGAAATATAAAAATGTTGTTAGAACAGTGCCAAATGCAAGGTGACTATCTTTGCAGTCTTGTGACACAGATCTGATAATTCAGTACTTACACTAGTGAAACGTAATTCTTGAGTCATGACTCAAAAAAATTCTATTAGAATTTTGATGAGGTATAATTCAGATATGTACAATTCAATAAAGTGTCACTGAACATGTCATGCATTCTTTTGTAAGATATTTACAGATATGTAACACGTTAACTCTCAGGTTTAATGCATCTTGTTATATCCAAGGAATATTTTGTCCCCTTTCTCATTACATCAACAGAATCAAAACAAGGAAAATAAACAGTGATTTCCCTAATGTGTTTGAAGCACTGCACTAAGATAAAGAGAGGATGCTGCATGATGCTGAAGAGCACAGATATTCACAATGGCCATATAAAAAAGGGAACTAAGTACACATCATCTATTGCCTTCCCATCTGAGGTCCATTCAAAAGAAAGGGAAATGGCTTTGTAAGGGAATATAAGCAGATGTCCCTGGGTGCTCCCACTCAGGCCACAGACACATGAGTTGTTTGTTGCTGGAAAAGTTGTGACCTTGAAGCTACTTTGGTGATCCGCCAGATTAGCACAGTGTTTTGCTGCCCTAGGCAAAGTACCTTAGCTGTGTCACACACTTTACTACCCAGGCTCATCCTGCACAGGTGACTCTATCATGTCAGTAGTTAGGTTTCGGGCTTTTTTTTTGCAGTAACTGGCCATCTTTCCCACTATCTCAGCTCATCCATCTCTGGAAACCAATCCAGGGCTAGTTTTGATGCTCCCATAGTTCTGAAAGCCCTAGCCTGTGTGGCTCAGCGTGTTGAAGCCCCGCCCCTCAAAAAATAGAGTAACTTGTCCATATTCCCACTGTTTTTCATGATCTCAGTGTGTTCCACTAATCTACTCTTGGCCATGCCAAATAGCTGGGTAGGCTACCCTGATTAGCTTGGCTCAGAGAAACTTTTGGAAATAAATAGGCAGCATCAACCACTGTTCCAAAATATTTCCCTATGAATGGGATACACGTCTATCAGCTATGATGGGTATACATAGGAATGGTCCATCACCTTTGTCCTGCAAAATAGAACTGTGACATTTCTCTATATTTGGAGTCCTCTTTTTCCATAGATTCACAAGTTCTGCACATTTTTACCAAAACATCTCCATGCAAGCACCTAGCTGTAGGTTATAACTGTACCTCTCGTTCTGTTTAGGGTTTCCATTTAGTTTCTTTGAGTGTGTACATTTAAAATTTTGCCTAAGAAATATCTTTTTACTTCTTGCTGATAATTCTTTTTTTTTCTTTGATGGGTGTCTGTGAACCTGTTCCTTCTCTCATGGGCAAGGTGAGTCATGGCATCTGCATCTCCACTTCATAGACTTCCTTGGATTTAAGACAATGTTAAGAGCTGGCTGTACTGCCTAACTGAAAAAAAATCCTACATTATTAATTGATACACAAGTTCACAATCTTGTTATAATAATTCTAACCCCATCTAAAATGGTTTGTATATAATAGTATTTCATTCTTTCTCTAAACACATGCACACATTTACACAAATATGCATAAAAGAGATTATATATGTGTTATTACATCTTCAAAAGATAAAGAGTGATCCAGTCCATTAAAATATAGGTAACAATGCCTGGTAATGTTGGATTAGATCTCTTTGTTTGTTTAGTGCAATCCTTTGTGTATTCTTTTTCTGTTCTGGTTCTCCTTTGTGGTGAAGAAAAATCTTCTTCATAGGAAATAGAAGACTACCCAGAGCTCTCCTAATGTCTGAAGTAGGAAAATGGAATGGATTAAAGGTAAAGATGACCATACTCCAGAATTGGATCCTATGTATTAGAAAATGTGCATCAGAAACTGGAAAGCTTTGTAAGTGTGAAATTTATTTATGCTATGTGAATGGTAAAGTATTTCAGATCTGCAAAAATAAAATATTACTCTAGGTGATTGAGGGAGACCACTGTGAAGTGGCTCTGAGCAGGATTTCAAGTTAACAAATTGTTTTTTTATGTTTACTTGTGAGTCTGTCCAAAGCCTAGGCCCCTTGTCTAGAGATGGCTAGTGGCCTCATAAGAAATGAACCTCTGTGAATCACTACAGAGAGGCAAGCTTATCCTTCTGCTTACATTATACATTACATGGATGATATCTTACTGGTAGCTCCAATTAAAAAGCCTTATATGCTGATACAAAATCAGAGAAGGATCAAACCAAAAAAGAGAACTACATGCCCATCTCCATGATAAACTTAGACACAAAGGTCCTCAATGAGATAATGACAAGCAGAATTTAGTAAACCATCAAGGAGGTTATATACAGTGACCAATTAGGTTTCATCTCAAGGATGCAAGGGTGGCTTATCATATAGAAATCAGTAAAGGTAATACACAATATTAACAGAATCAAGATCACATGATCATCTCAATAGATGCAGAAAAAGCATTTGACAAAGTCCAATATCCATTCATGATAAAAATCTTACAGAATATTGGAGTAGATCAATCTTAACTTTACCTGTTGAAAGCCATGTATGACACACCAGCAAGCACATCACACTAAATGGTGAAAAACTGAAAGTTTTCACTCTAAAATCAGAAACAAGAGAAGAATGTCCACTCTCACCACTCTTCTTCAATATACTTCTGAAAACATTAGCCAGAGAAGTTAGACTGGAGGAATAAATACATAGAATAAAAATAAGAAAAGGAAGAAATTAAATTATCATTATTTGTGGAAGACATGATTCTTTACAGAGCAGACCCCAATAATACTTGTAGTCACTTAAAAACTTGTAGATTTAAGAACCAAATTCAGTAGGTTAAATTCGTAGGTTAAAAAGTTAACACTTAAAAATCAGTTGCATTACTGTACACAAATAATAAACTAAGCGAGAGAAAAATTAGAGAATCCACACCTTTCATAATAACATATAAAAAAGAAAAAAATGAAAAGCTTTGGAATCAATCTAATGAAGGAAGTAAAAGCATTTTGCATTGAAAATTATAGTGCTCTGTTCTTGTTTTAGCAGCAGATATACTAAAACTGGAAAACTACAGTATATGGAAAAGAAGATCAAAGAGAATATCAGAAAAATACCCTTATTTTGGGTAGGAAAAATAAATACAGTGAAAATGTCCATATTTCTGAAATTTAATGCAATTCTCATCATAATACCAATAGCACCTTCTAGAATTAGAGAAAACAGTCATAGAATTCATTTAAAACCAGAAGAGACTGAGAATAGCAAAAGCAATTCTGAGCCACAAAGGCAAAGCAGGGTGAATACAATCTCTGGTGTGAAACTAGACTACAAAACTACAGTGATTGAAAAAACAGCAATGAACAAAACCCCAGTTGCAAAGGAAATATTACAGAAAACATAACTGGGATCTTGTCTTATTAAAAAGAGATTTGCAGAGCAAAACAAACTGCCAACTGAGTAAATAGCGAAATTTTTGCCGGTTGCTCCTCAAAGGACTATTATATAGAAAATATAAACAAGTTTTAAGAAAATTAAGCTTTCTCACATTTAAAAACACAGTCCAAAAATGGGCACCTAAAATTAATAGACACTTCTCAGATGAAGAAGTGGAAATGGCAAATAAATACATGAAAAAATGTTCAACTTCATTGGTCCATCAAAGTATGCAAATTGAAACAACACTGAGATCCCATCTCACTCCAGAAAGAATGGCTATTATCAAGAAATCGCTGAATAATAAATGCTGGTCAGGCTAGAGGGGGAAAAGCAATTGTTCTCCATTGTTGGTGGGGGTGCATACTGGTGCATCACTGTGGAAGTCAGTGTGGAGATTCCTCAAAACATTAGAACTAGGGGTTCCATTTGACCTAGATATTGCCCTTCATGGTATCTTCCCAAAAGAAAGAAAAGCATCATATCACAGCTACATATGGACCCTCATGTTTTACTAGGACAGTTTGTAATACCTAAATCTTGGAATCAGCAAAAATGCCCATCAGTAGATGAACGAATAAAAATGATGTGAGGGTTTTTTTAGGCAATGCACTACTATTCTGTCTTAAAAAATGATAAATTAGAGATATTATAGGTAAATGGATGCACCTAGAGACCATAATCTAAGTGAAATAAATTGGACACATATATTTAAATATCACATTGTTTCTCTGTTGTGAAAAACTGAAAGAATAAATAAGGACCAAAATGTATAATAGATACTGTGAAATAAGAAGACAATGTTCAAGTGGAAAGGGGAACAAGAGAGGTGGCATGGAGAATGGAAGGAAGGGAAGGAAAACAACAGATTAGAAACAATGGAAACGACCCTTTTGTAAATAAGAAGGGCAAGTGGAGGTGAAGGGAGTGGAGGAGATTGGGGAAAAGTAAGAATCAAGATATATTATATACACATACAAATTCCCTATGCTGAATGTTATCCTTATGTGTATCTAAGATGTATCAGTAAAGTTAATTTTAAAAAATTCTAAATTAGAAAAAGACTTTCAATATCTTTGTTGTATTTTATCAGTCATCTTCATTTTCTTGTATTTCTTACGTATATAATAATATATTATGTAATCTATTATATATAGAGTATATATATGCAATATATTTTAATTAAATTTTTTTAACTCTCAGTAACCTTAATTTCTATGGGAGACCCAGAAAAAAAGCATTTTTCTTGAGTCTGACCATGTACCATAATTTTTGAAAGCATATTTCATAATTTATAG